AGGCTCAGGCCAGTGTCCAACAACCAGCACAAGCCAGCTACCAGTCTGTGGCCCAGCCTGCTTTCCAACAACCAGCACAAGCCAGCTACCAGTCTGTGGCCCAGCCTGCTTTCCAACAACCAGCACAAGCCAGCTACCAGTCTGTGGCCCAGCCTGCTTTCCAACAACCAGCACAAGCCAGCTACCAGTCTGTGGCCCAGTCCAGTGGCTTGCAAGCAGCACAGGCCAGCTCCCAGTCTGTGGCTCAGCCAAGTGTTTTAAAAACAGTGCAAGCCAGCTATCAGTCTGTGTCCCAAACGATTAGGCCACAAGTTGCACAAGTCAGCAGCCAACAGTCACCACAAGCCAGCTACTCTGTGACTCAACCAAACAGCCTGCAAACCGCACTATCCCGCTACCAGTCTGTAGTCCAGCACCGTGAACTAACTGTTTTCAAGCCACTGCAGGCCCAAGGGGGACAACTTTATCAGGTTGGCTCCAAACTTTATTCATGCCAGGAGTATGTATTGCAGCCCAGTTACCAGCTTGCAGCCCAACCAGGATGTACTGAATATCAGCCTCCATCCAGACCAGTATCTCCATCCTTAGCTCAGCACATCAAACCTATTGTACAACCTAATTACCATGCCCCAGTGAAGCCTGGGCAGGACACCTGTGTGTCTGTGGTGTCACCCAGCAGCCATGTCCCTCCTGGACCACTGCAATCAACACTCCAGTCCACTTTCAGACTAGCACAACTGCCTGAACAGCCTAGCTACCAGCCTCCAGTTCTTCCAAGCCGACAGCCTCTTGCTAAGCACAGACTGCCCAGTTATGGTTCTGTATCACAGCTCAGTGGACCGCAATCTGGACCTTTGAGGCAATTGCAACAGCCTGGCTACCAGCCTCTGGCCAAGCCAAGGCAAGATGTGTATCAGTCCGTAGTTAAGCCTGTGCAATCCAGCTACAAACCCTCAAGCAGTCTAGAACCATCTATCTACCAGCCTCAAATGTTGCCTAGCCACCAGTCACTAGCTCAGTCTGGCTTCTTCTCCCCTGCCATTCCAGTGCAGTCTCGGTACAAGCCCCAGGAACAGTCAAGTTATGAGACCATATCGCAGCCTGGGTTCCAAACATCTATGCCTGGGCAGTCAGGTTACCAATCTGTATCCAGATCAAGTTCCCAAGCCCTGGTGCAGCCCAGTAGACGCTTTATTTCAAGCTATGAGTCCGTGTCTCAGTCAGTGCAACGTGGACTTCGGTATCCAGCACGGAATTATCAGCCTGTCACAAACCAGAATGCTCTTGGAACAGCTCAAAGTAGCCGGCATTTGTCCCAAAGCAGATCCAGGTTGTTGCAACAAGTGAAGTCATAGCTGTTTACTTGTGTTTGCAGTTTTCTGGTTGTGGATAATGTTCGTTTTTAAAGTATCAATAAAATGTCATTAGCAAGTGTATTTTTTGTGTGGGGTTTAAGTGAAGACTAACCGTCTTGCCTTTTGTTGGTGGTTGACGAATATGTAAAGAAATTAGGTGGAAAAATGTGAGGATTTCGCACATCTAGTAGTTGAGTTAGTTGGCTGATATAACTGTTCCATTGAACATAACTTCTACCCCTGGTTTCACAGACAAGGCTTAAGCCCGGTTCGAAAAGGGCCCGGTTCGAACTATTGGTATAAAATTAGAAGCACCCAATTCCCTAGAATATCATATGCTTAACCATTAAGATTTGTACTCATGGAAGTTACTAAAGTAGTCAAACCGGTTCATTAGAAGGGGTGTCCCAATACTTTTGGCAATATAGTGTACAAGCCAACCTAGCTATTCAAAATCTTTGTCTGCAATTTAATTTTGACCTATTACTTTCGCTTTTGACCATTAGGTATCAGAAACATAATTCATTCAGAACCTTTTCTATGGACAGACTTTCGGTACCACACTATTCTGCTGATATGGAATGAGTTTGACTACTTGGTTATATTAATAGAAATGCTTCACTGGGGCAAACAAAAAAAGTCCTAAAATAATAAATAGGATACCCCATAACACCAGCATTTCCAGAAGTATCCAACATTTCTCAATCATGATCTTACTCCGCTAAATTTGACTATTAGCTTTACAGCTGTATTCCTTGTTTGCTAGCTACTTATGCACATGCAGCATACAATGTTAAAAATGTTCTACATTATGAACCTTAACCCAAAAACCTTTAGCTTCATACACTGTAGATAATTGTGACCCTGCCTGTGGAAACCCAGCTAAATTATGTATTTTTTAAATATTAATTTATGCATTTAACAGACGCTTTAAGTGATTTAGAGTGCATTCATACGCAGTGTTGGGAAGGTTACTTTGGAAATGTAATAGGTTACAGATTACAAGTTACCCTATTTAAAATGTAATGGTGTAACTTTTTCAATTACTTGATTAAAGTAATGTAACTGATTACATTTGATTACTTTTTGATTACTTTTCTAAATTTCTAATGAATGTTTATTTGCAACTGTTAATCATTTTCAAACATTTACACCATGCAGGGTTAACCTTACAGTAGTGCTCAACACTGTTAGCCTTTCAAAATCCTTCATCACTTGAATTAAGATGATCAAATTTGAACAAATCCACCACAAAATCAGACTTTAGTACTGCCTTTTACTTTGAGATTGATCTGAAGTTAAATACATATTTAAAATCATAAGAAATAGTTTACTGATACTGTTTTTGAAACCAAATCTTTGCATAACTACAGGAAACACTGCATCTAACAATGGTTTGGAAAAAAAAAAGTTAATTAAAAAATAATAAATAAAAGCATATACATCAACTCAAATACGGTTATCTAATAAGCATGTGTCCTATTCGGTGTACTAAACTCTTGAAACATTGGTGTCTCTTTGTATATGATATGATGATAGTTTTCTCAAAATAAGTAAAATG